TGGCATTTCCACCCTGATCCAAATCCCCTGAGCCAGCCCTTGGGTGCCTCACTCCCTCACTCACCTTGTCCCAAAACCTCGAGTTCAGAGGTCAGGGTTTAACTCATCCATGTCCTGACATGAACTGCAAGAAGAACACACTCCCAGGCTCTTCTTCTGCTTTATTTTATTATTCTTTTTAGGGGTGTGTTTGTGTAATATTTTTAACTCAATTAGCAAGTTCAGAATATTCTCTGTGTTGATATTTGACTCAGCCGTGATGCAGTTTGGCCCTGTAGCTGTTGTTACCTGCATCCCCCGAAAGAACATCATCATCATCTCCCCAGACTGGGAGCCTCGGTGGTGTTGATTCCTGCTGGGGGACGTGGGTGCCAGTGGAAAATAAATAAGGTGGTATTTTCCAAGTGGCAGATCTGAAGGCACCCTGCTTTCCCTGCTTTGCATACTCACAGAGCACCATCCTCTCTGCTTCCCAGATATGAAAGCCGAGGCACAGACATCTGATGGGGCTCCAGCGCTGACTCACTGTTTGATGTGAGGCAGGAGGAGGGATGGGATCAGATCCCATTGTGCACAGCATCCACCAGACAACGCCAGCAGTGGGAGAGGAGGCAAATCCTCATCCTSCCTGCCCTCCAAACCGGGGTTCAGTCCCCTGCCCTCCAAACCGGGGTTCAGTCCCCTGCCCCTCCAAACCGGGGTTCAGTCCCCTGCGCCTCCAAACCGTGGGTCACCCCTGGCTGTTGTCCCCTGTCCCTCCAAACCGTGGGTCACCCCTGGCTGTTGTCCCCTGCCCCTCCAAACCGTGGGTCACCTCTTGCTGTCCCCTGTCCCTCCAAACCGTGGGTCACCCCCGGCTGCTGTCCCCTGCCCCTCCAAACCGTGGGTCACCCCTGGCTGTCCCCTGCCCCACTGCAGCAGCCGGGATGTCACCTCTGGGATGGCTCTTTGGGGATTCCCATGCTTAGACAGCTCAATACCAGGATGGACAGGGCTTGGAGCAGCCTGGTGTGGTGGAAGGGTTCCCTGGCTGTGGCAGGGGGTTGAGCTGGATGAATGTTCAGGGCTCTGCCTGGCTTTTTGAGTCTCTGGTTCTGTGCTGAGGCTGTGTGAAGGCAGAGCCAGGCCAGRGCAGCCCCGGGGTGTGCCGGCTGTGCACGCCCGGGGTTCTTTCTCACGAGATGGTGCAAGAGCCGGCGGGGAACTGGTTAAACAGCGTGAGCTGCCGGGGCTTGGCAGGGCAGTGTCACCGGGAAATGGCGTGTTTTATTAAACACACCGGCAAAGTGGCCTAAAGTCTCTTATTAATGTCCACAAATTTTGCCACTTCCAAATAGTTTCCACCTACATGTTCCTCCCACTGCTGCACTGGGTGCTGGCAAACATCTCTGCTCAAAGAGGGGGAATGGCTTTCATTTGAATAGTCCTGGGGCGAGTTTCGCTGAGCGATGCCAGCGTCATTCCCGCAGCTCTCACGTGCCCGGCAGCGCTCCAGGGTCGTGCCGGAGGGAGGGCACCGAGACAACAGCTCTTGCTGTGTTTTCCCAGTGCTTTATCCCGGCAGAGCCCACGGCAGCCTGAACCGATGCAATTAAGCAGCGATGGATGCGCATATTTGCAATATTAAATCTCGACTTGTGACTCGTGACGGTTCCTGACGGTTCCAGGGCAGCGAGCACGGCCAGCTGTGCTCTCGAGAGTCACACGCGGCTGAAACCGCCCGGCTTCACACCAAATCGGGCTTTTGCAACTCCCGGAGGGCCCAGGCASAGCCCTGGTGGGTGTCAAAGTGCTCCTGTGTGAGCTCCCACAGCGTCCCTTGGGGTGGTGTGGGTTTTCCTTGGGCACTGCCGGGGAAATGAGGGGTGATCCCTGGCACATCCCGCAGCGACCCGCACTCTGGGGACACAGACAGACCCTCTGCTGGCACCGGTGTCTGTCCTGTGGAGCTGCGGGGCAGTCCCGTTTGCTGAGCACAGCACAGCATCCCGAACGCTCCCAGAGCCAGCCCGGCTCCCACAGCGGCTTCTCCTGTGCGGAAAGCACGGGCTGTTCCTGCCGGAGGCTCCAGCCGAGGATGCCGAGGGCTGCGCGCATCCCGGGGCTGAGCTTTCACCTCCGGTGCCAGTAACCCGAGCCGGGATTGCTGGAAACGGGAGACAGGGAGAGTCAGCGATTTGATTACAGGCCACAGGCACATGCCTGGCCTTCACGGATATATTAAGTAAGAGACATTTTAAAACAAAACCACCCTCAGTAACCTTATCGTAAGCTCGAATCCACAACCCATCTGTTAACTCCCGGCGCTGCCCACATAGGCTTCCATCAGACAGCAGCGCCAGGGATTTTTGGAATTTTTTTTTTTTTTTTCCCCCAAATCCCCGCGGTCGGAAGGGGACAGTCCCGGGGAAGGGGCAGATCCTGGGGATCGGATTCCCAGCCCACCCTCCAAGCAGCCCCCGAACTCTCACCTTCTGCTGCCTCTGCAAATAACTCAAATCCCCCCGGACACGAATTGCCGCGGTCCTGTGACTGCAGGAGCGCTCAGGAGAGCTGCTGCTCCTCGGATGGCTCCAGGGAATTCAGCCCTTTTAAACATTTCGTTACTGCCCCAATCGGCCGGTGTAAAGGAGCCCTCCATGTAGAAATAATTCAGCAAACACAAGCGGGAAGGCAAATTGATGATTGCATCAGCCCTTGCTTATGAAAACTGATCCCCAGGAAAATGTAACTCAACTCTCGAGCAATCTCACTTGATGCCCAAGAATGCAATAACTTCATTTGGATCCTCCTTTTAGGGGGACTCCTAAATCCTTGGCAACGTCCCTTAAGGTCATGAGCAAATCCTGATATGGAGAATTGTTTGGCAAGCACGAGAACAGTAAAAGGGCTAAATAATTGGGGATTACCTCTGACCCTGATTTGTGGCTCACCACCCACTGCAGGAATGTACCGAATATCTGAAGGAGCATGCRGGAGTCAGACAATCCACGGGCATGAAGCCGTCCACGTACTCCTGGAGCCTGAACTTCAAATGCAGAGCAGGTTGGCCCCAAACCTCATTTTTCATTAGCAAAAGGCTGCAGCAAGCTCTAATTATTTCTGTTGCCTTGGACAAAGGGTCAGTGATGGGACAGATGAAAAATTGTCTGYGTTTTTTTCACCCTTTGTTTGGAAAATAACAGCTTGGGTCTTGGGGGCACAGAGAGAAGGAACTGTCTGCTCCAGGGTTTGTTACTGAGGGTGGTTATGGTCCCCTGCTGCAGGGGGGGACAAACACGTCACCCCCATGTCTTCTGAAGGTTTTTGCTGGATTTGTTCATTGAGAGTGGGAGAGGCCAGCTCTGCTGTGAGAGGTCACAGCTCRGAGCTGYGATCCTGTGGTGCTCAGAGCTCCAYGTTCAGTCCCAACTCATCCCCTCCACGCTGTGCTGGGGCTGCAGCACCACAGAGACTCTCAAGAGCGATGGGCAGGTCCAGGAATTGCAATGAGATGTCTGYAARGTCCCTTCCAACCCAAACTATTCYGGGGTTCCATGATCCTGGCCATAATCACTGGGTTTGCAGGCTCAGAGGTCAAACACTGAAGACCACGTGGAATGGGACAACCCAAACATCTGTTCTGTGGAAGCCCCATGTCAGTGCTGCAGTGTTCACACTGGAGATGCTGCTGGGAGCTTGTAGAGGAGATTTTGGGGTTTTACAGACCTTACATTCATGGCTAGCAGCTTTCTGAGACTCTGACTCCCCTTGGGATTCCTTCTGGTAATGCCAGGCACCTTTGGGTGAGGATGAGCCTTTAACAGCCTGTCTCCATCCCCGTATAAAACCTCTCTGTGCTCTCACAGAGCACCTCCTGCCCTCGGATTGCTCCTGAGCTGGAGCAGCCAGGACTCTGCAGGCGATGGAAGCAGCTCAGTGCTGGAGCTCTGCTGTTCCCTTATCTTGGTAAATGCACCTTTTATCAGCTGAGCCTGCCTCTACTTGCTCAGCACTCGGCAGGGAAGTGACCACGGCCCTTCAGGAGAGCTGTGCCTTGGCAGGTACACACAAACCATTATCATTGCTCAGCGTTGTGCAACTGCTGGCACCCACGGGCTGGCATGGCCATGGGAACTCACGGAATGGTCTGGGTCGGAAGGGACCTTACAGTTACCATCCAGTTCCACTCCCTGCCATGCACAGGGACACCTTCCACTAGAGCAGGTTGCTCCATCCAGCATCTCTGGGAACCTGAGCCAGAGCCTCAGCCCCCTCACAGGGGAGAATTTCCTGCTGATCATAATATCCCAGAATGATTTGGGTTGGAAGGGAGGAAGCCCACCAGCAGGGAGGAAGCCAAGGCAGGGATGGATACCTTCCTCTCGAGCAAGTTATTCCAAACCCTGTACACCCCCAGGGATGGGGTCCCACCACCCCAAACTTCCCTGAAGCACATCCATTTCCCCAGAGCCACATTTTAACGACTCTCGCTTATTTTACATTTTTTTCTCCACATTTCCAAACTTCCGCGGCTGCAGCTTTCTGCGGGTCCGTGTTTGTGTGTGCGACGCTTTCGGGGGGTGATTTATTTATTTTTTTTCCGCGATCTTGGGACGCAGCAGCGGTGCCGCACGGTGCGGTATGGCGGGGTATGGTACGGGTGGGTACGGTATGGCACGGGTCGGTGCGGTGCGGTATGGCACGGGACGGTGCGGTATGGCACGGTATGGCACGGGACGGTATGGTATGGCACGGTATGGTACGGAACAGCATGGCAGGGCACGGAAGAGCGTGGCAGGACACGGCACGGCTCGGAACAGCCCGGCACGGCTCGGCACGGCTCGGAACAGCCCAGCCCAGCCCCGCCGCGCCGGGACACACGTGCGGGGGGGTCCGGCCCCGCGGCTCCTCCTTCCCCCGCGCCGCCGCCACGTGAGGCTCATGTGACGGCGGGGCGGGGGCGCCGGGGCCGCCAGACGTGCCGGCGGTCACAGGGCTCCGCACGTCGCTCCCGTCCACCCACTCGCCCGCATTTAACCCGGCCCGCGGCCGCCCGCCGCTCCTCAGCCCGCGCGGCGCGGGTGCGGCATGAACAGCGGCACCGGCACCGGCACCGGCACCGGCACCGGCACCGGCACCGGCAGCGCCCGCAGCCCCTGAGCGCCCGCAGCGCCCCGAGCGCGCCCCCCGCCATGGAGCGCATCCCCAGCGCGCAGCCCCCGCCCGGCTGCCTGGGCAAGCTGCCCGCCCTGGACGGTGGCGATCTGCCGGGGTAAGCGGGGCTTCGGGGCTCGGGGGGCTCGGGGGAGAGCGGCCCCGCCGGCTCCGGGACGGGGGTAACGCGCTGCTCTCCTTTCGCCCGTGCAGGCTGGACTTCGCGCACATGTACCAGGTGTACAAGCCCCGGAGGGGCTTAAAGAGGAGCGAGGACAACAAGGTAAGCGGGGAGCGACGGGGTGAAATGAGGGGCGATTAGCTAAATTGGGGGTTAACGGGGTAAATTGGGGGTTAACGGGGTAGATCGGTCAGAGCGTGCCCGGCGGTGACAGCGCTCCCGGGACGCTCGGGACGGGAGGAGCAGCGGGAGCGGGGCCGGGCGGGCTGTCCCCCCGCTGACCCGCTGTCCCCGGCCCCGCAGGAGACCTACAAGCTGCCGCACCGGCTGATCGAGAAGAAGAGGCGCGACAGGATCAACGAGTGCATCGCGCAGCTGAAGGATCTGCTGCCYGAGCACCTCAAGCTCACGGTAGGTGCGAGCAGCGGACGGGGCAGCGGCTCCCCCGCGGCCGGCTCTCTCCGCGGCTTTGGGGTGCTGTTTTGGTGGGGTTTTTGTTTTGGTTTGGTTTGTTGTTGTTTTTTTTTTGTTGTTGTTTTTTTTTTTTACCCCGTGGTGCCGCACGCCCGGGCGGGCTGTAAGCGCATCCCAAACTTCCCCGGGAGCTGCGGATCCCTGCGGGAGCTGCCCGCCGGATCCCCCCTCTCCGCTGCCGGGCGAGAGGAGCCCCCGGCCGGGCTCCCCGGCTCCCCCGGGCTCACGGTGCTGGCAGGGGCAGCAGAACCGATCAATAAAAGGCTTTTCTCCGAGCAATGCSGCTGGTCCCAAAGTACCCCCAGGGTGCCGGGGGAGCCTTTTCTCGTGCYGGCTTTTTGACTCCTTTCCGTGGCATGTTGTCGGTGATGTTCCTGCCTGCTCAGGCTCACCCGGTGTCCGTCCTCCCGCGGCTCTGGGAAGGCACTGGCAGCCCCTGGGGCTCCTGCCTGCGTGGCTGAGCCTGGAGCGGGTGCCAACCTGTCCCTGTGCTCCCAGACTCTAGGTCACCTGGAGAAGGCTGTGGTTCTGGAGCTCACCTTGAAGCACGTGAAGGCACTGACCAATCTAATCGAGCAGCAGCAGCAGAAGATCATCGCTTTGCAGAGCGGTTTGCAGGCGGGTGAGTGTTCAGGGTGAGAACCTGCGTGTGTTGAGCTGGGCTTTCCCTGGGGAGCCTGTGAAATGCGGTTGTGACACCTTGTTCCCGAGAAGGGAGGAGGCAGGAGTTCTGGCCTTTCCTTACTCTCATTTTCTCAGGCTTTGCTTGTGAGCTTTCACAAAAAAAGATATGTTGCTCAAGGTGGTCAGTGCTGAGTGCCCTGGGGGTTGCTTGAAATTAAATTGGGTTTCAGGCAGTTTTAATTACAGCCCAGGTTTGCTGTGAGGTTCTCTCCAAAACCATTTGACTCATTTGTGTTTGTGAGCTTTAGATCACCYAGTTTGGGTTTATTTGCTTGTTTTTCTCTGGAAACAGATACAAATCTGCTTTCTATACACACCTTTTTAAGTTTCTTTGTAAGTGAGCTGGCCTGTGCTCTGCAGGCAGAGGGGACTCGGTGCTTCAGTTTATCGGCYGTAGATGCACTTCCTCCTGCTGTTTTCACATGTGGCACTCACGTGAATCTGATACAGCAAACCCGAATTTTTCGGAGGCGCCRTCCCTGCCCCGGCAGCCACAGGGAGTGCAGTGGAGTCGCCCGGGGCTGGCGGAGCTCCGTGCCCGGAGCTGCAGGGCGAGGTGCACCCTGCCCTCCCCAGGGGATTTCCTGGAGCAGCCACAGCTTGGCTCGMTCCCCTGCTCCGCACTCCAGGACCTGTTGAAGGGGGATGATRCAGTAAATACAGAACAAAAAATAAGTTTGAAGTTGATATGTAAAAGTGTCCAGATGGATGTTCCAATGAAAACGTCCATTTCTGCAGAAATTTGGGGATTCCTGTTCAGAGAGTCCAGGTTGGCCATCGCAATCCCCTCCAGCTGCGCTGTAACCCAAGGCCAACATCGCCCCCGGTCTGCCTCGGAGATGAAAATGGAACTATTTAGCATGTTGTTAATTTTTAATTTCTCTCTGTTAATGTTTCCTTAGGTGACCTGTCATCGAGAAACCTCGATTCCAGCCAGGAAATGTTTCGATCCGGTTTCCAGATGTGTGCCAAGGAAATGCTGCAATACCTGGCGAAGCACGAGAATGGCAAGGAGCTGAAGTCGTCGCAGCTGGTCAGCCACCTGCACCGGATGGCCAGCGAGGTGCTGCAGGGCGGGGCCGCCCGCAAGCCAGGGGACATCCCTCCAAAAATGGTGGACTTGAAAGAGAAAACGGTGSCCCTGGGCGCGGCGGGCGAGGGCCACGGCAAGAACTGCGTGCCCGTGATCCAGCGGACATTCGCTCACTCCAGCGGGGAGCAGAGCGGCAGCGACACGGACACGGACAGCGGCTACGGGGGCGAGCTGGAGAAAAGCGACTCCAAATCGGAGCAGCCCTATTTCAAAAAGGATACCGACCTCAAGTACGCTGTCCAGGAGAGAATAAGCTCTATTAAGCAAGAGACTGAGGACCCGCCGGCCAAAAGGAGCAGGCTGGAGTCGCCGCAGGACGAGGGCCCTTTTGGCAGTGACATGATGGGCTCTCCCAGCAGCTTCCTGGGCCCCCACCCTCACCAGCCTCCCCTGTGCCTGCCTTTCTACCTGATCCCGCCGTCCGCCACCGCCTACCTGCCCATGCTGGAGAAGTGCTGGTACCCGGCCTCGGTGCCCGTGTTGTACCCCAGCCTCCCGGCCTCTGCCGCGGCGCTCACGGGCTTCATGAACCCCGACAAAATCTCCCCCCCTCTGCTGATGCCCCAGAGACTCCCTTCTCCTGTACCGGCCCATTCCCCCATCGACTCCTCGGCTCTGCTTCAAGCTTTGAAGCAGATTCCTCCTTTGAACTTGGAAACCAAAGACTGAGCACAGTGTGACTGGGTTTTCTCTCTTTTCTTTTTTTTTTGGTTTTTTTTTTTAGTTTGAGAGACTGTTTCACTTTTATATATTGGCTGGATGAGGTGTGGGGACAAGGTTCACTGCGTGTAGGAAGCTAAATCCCCTTTTCTCTGACCTTTGTCAGGTAGCTTGGAGAAGGATGAAGGATGCRCCCAGTTTAGCAATTCACAACTACTTACAAAAGATTAAAGAAGGGTTTTGTGCTTTACCCCTTCCCTTCTTCCCTCTCCACATCTACAGATCAGCAGTTGACTCGGTCAGCTGCGAATCTATTGCAAAGCTGTGAAGAAATATTCCATTGGGCAGACCTGGTTTGGGGGTCTGCCAATATGAAAACGTGAATATAAAACACGGTACTTCCCTGAACRGCTCTGAAGGCAGCGGCCCCTGTGGCTGGTTGGAGCTGGGCTGGGGTCTGAGTGACCCTGGGTGTGCAGTGGGGGTGGTGGCAATGTCACAGTGAGTGCAGGAAGAGCAGGACAGTGGTCACTGGTGATGGTGGCATTGTCACTGTGAGTGCAGGAGGAGCAGGGCAGTGGTCACTGTAGTGGTGGCATTGTCACTGAGTGCAGGAGGAGCAGGGCAGTGGTCACTGTAGTGGTGGCAATGTCACAGTGAGTGCAGGAGGAGCAGGGCAGTGGTCACTGTAGTGGTGGCAATGTCACCATCAGCACAGGAGGAGCAGGGCAGTGGTCACTGTGGTGGTGGCAATGTCACTGTGAGTGTAGGAGGAGCAGGGCAGTGGTCACTGGTGATGGTGGCATTGTCACAGTGAGTGCAGGAGGAGCAGGGCAGTGGTCACTGTGGTGGTGGCAATGTCACAGTGAGTGCAGGAGGAGCAGGACAGTGGTCACTGGTGATGGTGGTGATGGTGGCAGTGTCACCATCAGCACAGAAGGAGCAGGGCAGTGGTCACTGGTGGTGATGGCATTGTCACTGTGAGCACAGGAGGAGCAGGGCAGTGGTCACTGTAGTGGTGGCAATGTCACCATCAGCACAGGAGGAGCAGGGCAGTGGCCACTGTGATGGTGACAATGCCACTGTGAGTGCAGGAGGAGCAGGGCAGCGGTCACTGCTTGGCCACACACAGGTCAGGCAGACCTAGGACGGGTTTCTCTCCACACCTTTGCTGAGAGGTAGATATTTTTTAAGAAACAAAAGGTAGCTGCTGCTTGGAGCTTTCCATAGCGTGCATCTAATAAATAAATTAACCTGCGCCCTTCCTGTAACTTGAGCTGCTCCGTTGGGCGGGCTCGGGAGGAGCTGTCCCTCGGATCACTTTGCTGGTGGCACCTGGCTCCAGCCCCCGCTGCTGTTCAGTGTCCCCGTGTCCCTCGGGAAGCGCCGCGGTTTTCCCGGCCCCGCTGCTCCCGGGAGCTCCGTGCCAGAGGGAGCAGTTCAGCCGGAGCCCCATCCCCGCWGGACGCACCCCTGACAGTGCCTTGGAAAACGCAAAGCTGGGCTTTCTATGGGGTTTAATCCCGGCAGGGTGTGAGCATCTGGAATCCTCCGGCTCCTTGGCAAAGCCCGGCCCAACCCTGTGTGCAGGAGAGTGGTGACACCTGCCCTGGAAACTGCGAGGGGCTTTCTCTGCAGAGGAACATCATCTCCAATTTAGCTTTTTTTTTTTTTTAAATTAAAAACCCCCAAACTTCACTGCARAAGGCAGTGCTTTTTGGTGGTTTTTTTCCTTCCTGGTTTTGAGAAGTGGTGACCAGAACCCCGTTGTCTGGATCCTCATGTCGCCCTCCCGTTGCACCAGCTGTTGAGATGCACTATGCTTGATTGCAGATTGTGTTCTAACGTTTATTTTGTTGTTGGTTTTTTGGGTTTTTTTGGTATACAGTTGTTGCCTTTATTTGTAAAATCCTGTTATAAATATATATATTATATAAATATATTAAAAGTTAAAATGTTTCAGATGTCTATTATTTGTATAACTACTTGAGCATAAAGAAGTGAGAAATATGAATGTATTCTTGTTTCTGGGTTGTCTTTTTTTTGAAGAGAAGAATATTCCGTTTTTCTCTCGGGAGAGGTACAGTGTTTATATTTTGGAGCTGCCTTCAAGGTGGGATATTGTACATATTTTTATCTTGAGTAAATGTTAAGTAGTTGTTTAAAAATGCTTAATAAAATAATTCTTTTCCTGTGGAAGATAAGGGTTTGCCTCCTGTGCTTTGAAATGTTTGAGTAAGGTCATTCCAYGGGGTCTGCTCCAGCAGGGGATGATGAGCAGAGGGTATAGGGGGAGTGGGATTTTGGGGTGCAGGGGGAGTGAGGATCTCAGGGTGATGGGGTAAAGGGGGAATTTGGGGTGCGGGGAGGAGTGGGGATCTCAGGGTGATGGGATAAGGGGGATTGTCAGGGTGCAGGGAGAGGATGGAGGATCTCAGGGTGCAGGAGCATGGGGGATCTTTGGGTGATGGGTTAAGGAGGGATCTCGGGTGCAGGAGCATGGGGGATCTCCTCCCTCCCCCCAGCTCCTCCAGCGTCAGTGCCTGAAGGACTCAGGATCCCATTTCCCCTGTCACCAGGGGGATTTATTTATTTTCCCTCCCTTGGCACCCTCAGGGATTTTTTTCCTTGCAGACTCGAGGGAGGTGCCAGGAGAGGCTGGCTGGCTTTCCTGCTCTCTGCTGATGTCACGTTGTGTTCCCTGTGTCTGGAAGTGGCTCCTGGGCCCCAGCTCCGTGGGCAGCAGCAGCCCCTCGCCCCTCCACAGGCGTTCCTGGAGGAAAAGGCWTTTGCTGCAAACTGCTTTTGCTTTGCCAGCGCCCCTGACCCGTGCCAGGGCTGCCAGGGATGGTGCCCACCAGGCCCTTGAGGCTGAGGAGTGCAAGGCCAGGTCCTGCCTTTACCCAGAGAGATCCCTGCCACCCCCGTGTCCCCCSTGTCCCTGGTTTGGGATGCCCAGCTGGCACCGTGGGTGGCAGAGCAGCCTGGTGCCTCTGCTCCCAGTGCTGCAAAACGAGCCCCAGGGTAGGGTCCATCTCCCACCCGGCTCCCTCCTGGCCTCTCCAGCAGCAATCCGGGTTTCTGGGCTCCACACGAAATGACAACGACCCCAACCCTCTCCCAAAGGCAAAAGTGTGGGGATGCAAAGGGGTGAGTGGGAGGAGTTGGTTTTACAGTGGTGCTGCCTGTGCTGGATGGGGCACAGGCACTTCTGGAGGGTATTTCAGATTTTCACAGTGCAGATGAACCACAAAACGTGGGGAGTGCTTTAACTGTCCGACAGGGCCAGCTCTGCTCAGTCCAGCATCTCCAGGACCTCACTCAGAGAGGCAGATGCTTCTGTTGAACCGTGGTTAGAATCAGCTTAAAGAAACCTTGGCTTAAGTAATGCTAGAAAAAAATGCTGCTTGGTTTAATGTGTTTGGGGCCTCCACAGCTCCCGACGTCGATGTTAATGTTTGCTTTAATTAGGGATAATCATTGATCTCACTGAAGCCGACTGTAACAACCCCACTTGGGGCCACATTTGGTGCTCAGTGCAGCAGTCTCCAGCCTCGGAGAAATGCAGGGACCCCCAGCATTTCTGGCTCCTTTCCATGGCTCTTGCTCCCCTTTGATGTCAATTCTGATCTTATGGTGAGAGGACTTGCAGGAGTTCCAGATCCTCAGTCACGGAGGAGTRAAAAAAGTGGAAGAGAGAACATTTATTCAGGAAGCAAAAGATGATTACAGGCTGGGAATTTTCTCTGCTGGCCTGGCCCGGTGCCAGCAGGACAGGTGAGTTCTGAGAGCGGGGCAGGGACTGCACCTGCGGTGGCACCGGGTGGGGACCCCGTGCCCGAGCAGCCCCTCCTGCCCTGCCCTGCCCTGCCCTGCC